AACTACTTATTATACTTCAGCGCAACTTAAGTTCAATGGCAAAGTCAATTAAAACATAAAACTAATGTGTGACACGTCACACTGCACCGCTGAGGTTTTGAGACGTCCTGCTTTAAACAGCTGGTGGCACACTTCACACGTACATAGCTCACGCACACACAGCATTGCAAACACATAAAGTAGATGAATGTATGTATGAAATTACTAATTTGATCGATTGTGAATTCAAAATTATTGTTTGTAAAAGAAAAACAATGAAATCAGTGAAAGTCTATCATTTTTTTGATGATATTTTTTTTTTTTTTTTTTTTTTTTTTTTTTTGGGGGGGGGGGGGTAGATTTTTGTGTATTGTCAAAACATTTCAGCTGTTTCTTGACATATTTTGAATATGAGGGTATTTGTAGAACAGTCCTTTTTTTGTGTTTCTTTTTGTAGAAAATTATTTGAAGCTCATAGACCCCACTAGATAGTACTACTACTAGTTTGAATATGACATGGAACCCCTTCTATCATGCAATAGCAAAACATGTTTCACAAAGCCTTTATTCCCTGACAAATGACAAAAATCAGTGACAAATTGGAAGCAAGGATTTCTCTAGTTTTTACCACAACCTGTCATTTATCACTGAGACAAGTTTTGTGAAATGTGACCCTGGTTATTGTTACACTTGAATAACAAGTATTATAATGCATTGACCAGGTTTAATTGGTTGATGTGATTTTATCTTCTGCAGTTTGTTTAATCTTGATTGAATACATGGGAGTATGGAGGAGAATCATCAGCACTACTATGGCGGAGAGGGGCTACAACAAACCCAACCACTGTCTAACTACCAGCAACATCTCATCTACCAACCCAATGTGTACACATCTCAGCAACACGATCAACATCATAGGCAGCAACATGAGCAGCAACATCCCACCACCTTTGTTGATGTAACCAGCAGTCAAGCAACCATGCAAACATTTCAGCCTGGTAAGGCTATATGACCTAACGTTGTGTGTCCAGACAGCTTGTGTACATGTACATCCATCCTGACAGATATTTTGAAACTCTCGGTATAGACCAGTTCTGGTCATGCGATCGCATTGTGAAAGAAACATTGTGAAATCGATCAGAAAAGGTTGATCATTTTTATATACAGTAAGTATTGGTGTGTACTGCAAGGTTCTGGAATCATCAAGATGATAAAGAAATTTGGCCCAGTCTTGGTAAATTTACAAGCAATGTACATAGAAAGATGTATATGGGACTACCCTATATCTATCCAGTTCGGATAGATATAATAATTTACCAAATATATCAAAATTTGTATCATCACGTATTAGTCAAAACATATTCTTTCACCATGATTGGAAATAAGAGCTTCCATTTCATTTTTTGATAGGGGGCGTTTCCAAAACTGGTCTTTACCTTTAATGTTCCATGCATCTTACACAGTCTTACACAAAATCCCCCATTCTGAATGTACTTTACAATATCAAGGAAGAAAATGATTGTCGTGATGGTTTATGTACGAGGCCAGCATTTTCTTTTTTCAACATCCACCCCCCCCCCCCCCCTTGTTCTCCATCGAAGAAGTTCCCCAAAGTTGACAGCCCTGTATAAGGTGTTAAATGGGTACCCAATACTAAGGGCCTGTAGAATGTAGAATTGTTAAATGTTGCCTGGCTGGAATACTCCCCGTAGAGCGTAGCGTGTACTTTCATGTGCGGATTAACAGTTGAATCCGATGACCTACAGTAGTTAACAATAATTACAATGTATGGTGCTTAAATAGTGCGTACAGTGTACTAGTGTAGTATCAAGTGCTATACAAATGTGACTATCATTATTATTGATATACCTGTGTGGGTTCATATTTTTTTACAGATACAGGACAAATGTCGTTTGCCGGTAAACTAGCTGACAAAGGATGGCAGCACTCGATGAGTCCCAGTCTTCCAGTTATTCCAAGCTCAGTGGCTCCTGCAACCACACCCACTACTATGCAAACACCGGCATTGGTCAGCCAACCATCCCAACAACAACCATCTGGTATCTTGAAGCAAGAGCTTCCAGCAAACAATCAGACCTCTAGCGCCAGTCGGGTGTCGACGGGTTGGCGTAGCCATGAGCCTTCCAGGGAGATTCAAACACAAATGGCTTTTGATCGGACTGGGTTAGGACAGCAAGGTGCAGGTCAAAGCACTCCTGGAATCACTGATGGTCTTCGTCAAGATTCTTCAAGGATGCGCAATTCAGTTGCATCGGAAGGCTTAGGACAAACTAAACCAGCTAGTAGCAAAGGAGACACTGTCCTTATTTTGTCTTCAGGTATCATTGATGATATTACAAAACATCTTGGAAAAGATGAAGGAAGTGCTACGGGTAGGATCATGGAATCTAATAAAAGACCAGAGACACTGTCCAGAGATCCAGGTCTGACAACGTTACCGCCAGCTTCTCAAGAAAAGAAGATTATACGGTACAAGAAAAAATGCGGTAGTGGACTGGTTCAGAACATCCATCAAGGGTCAAAAAGTGAGAGTGTGAGGAAAAGAGGAACTGCTCGAAGAGGAACTGCTACGGTTACAAACAGGACCATTGATACACAGAAGACCAGAACACTTGCTATGGTCAGGGATAGGACAATGGATGGACAGAACATCAGGCCGCGTGCTATGGTCAGGGATAGGACGTCGAATGGACAGAACATAAGGCCACTTGCTATGGCCCCAGATCGGACGGTGTATGGACAGAAGATTTGGACAGCTGCCCAGATGAGGAGAAGTAATGTGAAACCTGTAAAGAGACAAACAGAGGAACTAATTGAGGTATGGCTCAGTGATGTGGAGTTGAAATATTGATCTAGTTCATGTATTAACAGAAATATATCCCACTGAATTTGTAAAGCACGATATAGCTGTTATCACAGTGTGTTCATATTAATTTCATGAAGCCTGCACTTTTCAGGAAGAAGAAGAATAAGACTCCATATCATATGTTTTCTATGACCTCAGAAATACTTTTCTTTCTTAGAAATAAGTTTTAGGTTATTATTATTGTTTAACTGTTCATACCAATACCAAATCAATTCAACCAGGGTTCTGTCAATCAAACATGATAGCCACAATCCATATCATTTACATGAATGAACTTGGGGGTATTTCACAAAGATCCTAAGTCGAACTTAACTCTAAAGTTGGACTTAAAGGGAAAGTCCACCCCCAAAATAAGTTTGTTTCGATAGAGGCAGAATAATAAGAAAATCAGGTGAGTGAAAGTTTGAGCAAATTCTGAATGAAAATAAGAAAGTTATGAATTATTGAAGTTGTGATCAATCAAATACAAATTGGCAACTCTGTGACTTATCATACGAGCTCTCCTTCATTTGCTTTGTGCATAATATTCCATAAAATCATGTTTTCTTCGTTATTGATGACGGAATATATATTTGTTCCTTGCAGGGGGAGTATAGAAACATATTTGCAATTATTATATTTAGGGTGCATGTATGGTTGAAATTTTTCTTGAGGGAAAATGAAAATTTTAGATTTTTTTAGTACTGAGCAAATGGAAGTTGAGCTCGCATGATACGTCATAGAGTTGCCAATTTGTGTTTGATTGATCACAACTTCAAAAATCCTAACTTCCTTATTTTTAATCGGAATTTGCTCAAACTTTCACTGACTTGTTTCTCTCATTTTTCTACTCCTATTAAAACTAACTTAATTTCAGGGTGGACTTCCCCTTTAAACATTATGGAGAGCCATTCGTAGCCTTGAAATAAGATATATTCAAAAGTGAAAAATCAAGTATTTTAGACTTTTTATAAATTCCATATCAAGAACATGAAATCTCCTTGATAATAGAAAATATGAAAGATTTGAATCAACATTTTATGCCCTTTAGAATAACTTTTACAAAATATTTTCAGAGATGCGAACAGCTTCCCATAATTGTTAAGTCCAACTTCGAGATAAGTTCAAGTTAGGATCTTTGTGAAACACCCCCCTGATGTCATATCAAAGGAGTATAACATTATTTGATCACCGATAACATTGTTAAAATTGGTGGTCAAGCGATCCTATGAAATTGTTGAGGTCTGGCCTTCTACAGCGATTTCCAATTATGAACGGCTCTTTATGTTATTGGTGAGAACCCTCCTTGTGACATTTATTATTATTACAAACAAATTGTATTTTCAATCCATCATAACAATTATAAATATTCTAACAATTGGAAATTTAACTTCTCTTAAAGGTAATACAAAGTTTTGTTATGGGGTGATAAATTTGGTTCAAATGAGCATATTGGAAGCATATATGCGATCCTACAATATTCAGTGATCGTCGCGGTTGAAATTGAGTCTCAAGTTATGAAATTGTAAATAATACACTCTTTATGTTGTATAAAAAATGTTTCTTGACTAAAATCGACTAATTGGCTATACCAGTTTGAAAATTATATATCACAACTACATATTCTGAGATTTTCATGGTCGCAGCTATCATTGTAGAGCCGTAGGCGCTATTTGAAATTTATCAAATTTAACCAGGAGCACCGTTAAATTTTTACGATTAAGTTTTCTCAAAAGCAGAAGTGTTTTAGAGGCTACATTTTTTGTGCTGATAATACTGTACATCCACAGGGGCATCCAAATATATCAAAATTGTAAAGAATCACAATCCACCAAACTTTCAAAATTTTCCAAAACTTTGTATTACCTTTAATACAGAATCTTTTCTTGCAAAAGTGTATTTCTTACTCTTTGTACTTACCAAATTTATATTGCATAGTGCATATTTAGAGAATAAAAATGTAATTACTTTGCGCTAACCAAATTTCATGTTCTAATTTTGATTTTATTATTATTATTACCAGGAAGGTGTTGAGGACTGGTCCCGTTATGCCTCATCACAGCAGGGGGATGAAGATGGATGGGTGGAGGATGGAGAGTGGTATGATAAGGAGGAGGAGGAGGAGGAGGAGGAGGAAAGAGACGAGGAAGAGGAGGAGGAGGATGACAGTCTAGTGTCGGATATAAGTGCGTTAGAGACAGGTGAAGATTATAATAACGATTATGAGGAGGATGTAAAGCAAGAGGAGAACGACGATGAAGATGACGAGGATGACAACGAGGGTGACAGCTACCAGGAGTGGGATGATGACGAGATGGAGACGGAGGATGAAGAAGAAGAAGACTTGGATGTTCCACCATTACCGGAGGGATTCTGGTACAAGTTTTCCTCATCTCGTCGTGATGAAGACCAGAAGATCGTTGGAGTGACCGCTGAGGAGGAGATCCCTGCTGGTAAGCAGTATGGACCGCTGGAAGGTGAACTGGTGGGAGAGGATGAGGGGTGCTTGTCACAGTCATCTTGGGAGGTCAGTCATACTAAGACTAAACAACGTTTCGTCCTTGTAAAGAAACGTCATATAAAGAATCATGGTATTTCAAAAGGAGTGTACAGACTAGAAAACAACATCGGATTAAAAAAAAAATATCATAAAGATACTAATTTTGAGAGTCCTATTTAGACTAAAAAAATTCATTCAAAACCCTTGTTAAGAAACATCATATGTAAAGAATCATTGTACAGTGAAACCTGTATACAAAGACCGTTCAAGGGAGATAAGAAAAGTGGTCTTTAGAGGCAAGTGGTCTTCATGTAAAGGCCCTTTAGTAGTATGCTTCAATGAGAAACAGTTTTCGAGGGAAACAAAAATTGTGGTCTTTAAAGACAGGTGTTCACTAAAGCAGGTTTGACTGTATTGCGTAAGGAGTGTACAGACCAGAAAACAACATCATATAAAAAGAAATGTCATAAAGATACTCATTTTGAAAAGGTCGATCGCATGACAGCTATCTAATCACAAGTTCACACTTGTGATAACAATTTTTTTTAATGATAGGGCAGACTAGATCGGGACCCTGATTCTTTGTCAAGCTTTTGTTAGAAATGATGCTTAAAAATGTATTTTGCTATGCAACGTTTGGTTACACACTGTTTCTTTGCACAAAATTCAAGCTAGACAAAAGGTCATATGATTCTTGTATGCCTGTGCAATGAATACTGTCGGTCTGAATAGTATGCAATAGATCCAACCGAACCATAAGTCCAGGAATAATTACAGCCCAATTAATTGCGTACCTGCATGCAGTTGACTTTGATTACAGTTCACTGATACTAAGCATTACCCGTACGGGCATGACAACTAATGGCAATGTTCTGTTGAGAATTTAAGATATGATATATAGTCAAACCTGCTTTAGTGACCACCTGTATACAGAGACCAAGATTTTTGTTTCCCTTTAAAATGGTTTCTCATTGAAACATGTACTAAAGGAATTTGCCTACAAAGACCACTTTTTATGTTTCCCTTGGGCGGTTGCTATAGACAGGTTTGCTGTATAATGTATGTATGCATGATAATGATATTTTCCTATATATGATACTAACAATCTAATTTCCTAGTTTTCTTTGTAAACAAAACCTATAGAGCTTCTCTCTTTTTTTGTACACTGTAGTAAAGTGCAAAAGATTTTCATAGAGTCATGATATTGATATTAATTTATTTCGTCCACAATGTGGAAATATGCTTCCCACCAGCATTACAATAATACAAGAAACAAAGAGTATGAAAACTTGCAAAACAATTAAGAAAACGATTTCAAATCAGAAAAATGTTGTCCTTTCACAGAAATCATGTTTGTCTTTGGATATAGTTGTGCACCAAAGGCAATGTACTATTGTACATAGACGGTGGGTCAGACTGGCTATCTCATATACAGTGTACACAGAGGCAAGGTGAGCAGAACATGGAAGCCATTCAGCTCTATGGAAACATCTACTACAGGACTACAAAGTGCATTGAACCAGGAAGTGAGCTCAGGGTGTTCTACAGTAAGGAGTATTCAAACCATGTTGGGTTCGATACCGACCTTGGGGAACTCACATTCCACTCAGGTAGGTAGCCTAGATCTTAGCTTTCTGCTGATGCAGGGGGAAAAAATACATGGGGGCGGCAGGTGAAGTTGTCCCAGGAATACCAAAAAGAGCCCCCCCCCCCCCAAAAAAAAAGCAATTACGGGGGCGACTTCAAAAAAGAAATTATCAAAAATCGCCCCTGTAACAATTGATGCACGACTATGAGCAGCTGCTCTCTCCCAGCTTTGCAGTCATTGTGTGTATTTTTTGGTTGCCGCTGAACCTCTGTGTAAAAATGTATACAGAAATTTAGTCAAAAATAACTCCATCCATCCCTCACATTTTACAATGTCACGCGTACTTAAAAACCTCAACAAATTTTGTGGATGCGATGACGATTTAATGACAAAAGTAGCCGCCAAAATGGAAAAAGGAGCCCATGAGAGTCGAAAATGAACCTCAAAAAACTTTCTGAAAAATTTGATATGATGCACCCAAAATAAAAAGTTTCATTGTGAGTTATATCGTACAACATTTATGCTCCAGCAACAATTGCTACGCTGTCATTCTTGCACACTAACCTTATTGCAAACTTCAACCCTGGACCGAACAGTAATAATAATCCTAACCCTAACCCTGTTCTGATTTTACCATTCCTATACAGATTTGAATGCCTTCTCCTGTCCTCGATGTGATATTCATTACACCGACCCAAAACTTATGCTAAGACACATCAAGCTATCCCACCAAGGCAAATCATCTACCGACCTTCGACCTGTCGTTACCTTTGAAACTAGAAGCAAGACTTCAGAATGCAAGCAATCTTTGGAGAAAGCGCTGAGAGAGGAGGGTAAGATGTTCAGACGCGCAACTCAACCTCTGAAGCCTGTAGCTAATCACCGTACTGAGCAGGAGAGGAGAAATTCAAGCGAGATTCTACCTTCAACTAGCCATATTCCATCTTCAACTAGCCATATTCCATCTTCAACTAACCATATTCCATCTTCAACTAGCCATATTCCATCTTCAACTAGCCACAATCCATCTTCAACTAGCCACAATCCATCTTCAACTAGCCACAATCCACCTTCAACTAGCCACATTCCACCTTCAACTAGCCACAAAACCCACAGGCAGACTCTGGAAGGTAAGGAGTCATCAAAGTCTTCCAGGGAATTGAACAAGAATATTGAAAGTAGAACTCATGAAGTGAAACCTGATGTGAAGCCTGCCACCAAGTCTGGGAAAGATCTTGTTTGCGTGACTTGTTGTAAGACGTTCACCACAGAGGGCAGGCTTCAAGCACACATGATGTTTCACACATTCACAACTAAACACAATTGCCCAATCTGCGGAGAAACACAATCCAGTAAGCATAAGCTTGTGAGACACATGGCTAGCCATCAAAGAATGATCTACCAATGCCAGCAGTGTCCTAAGACATACTTCTCACCCAAATCCTTGTATTGCCATGAACAGAAAATTCACAGGAAGGCGGACAAGTACTACACTTGTAGCATGTGCCCTTTGCAATTCAGATGGAAACATGGGATGAGAGAACACGAGAAGGAGCATGAGAGGAACCAAGAGAGGGCGCCACAGAGAGAACTCACGATCCAGGAACTCGTCAACCCTGAGAACAGGACGACCCACAAACGTATAAAGTTGAACAAAGTCAACAAACCAAGAAGAGTGGTACAGAACATGGATGTTGTACATGAAGATAATGGGGATACTTCCAACAAGGATATGCTTGGCAAGAAGCCGGATTATTTCCAGGATCCATCGCTTCGATTCAAGTGTAAATATTGCCCGAAGAGATACACCTCTGTTAGCTGTGTGAAGACCCATGAGCGAGAGGTCCACGAAGGCAGGGGGAGATATAAGTGCTTGTATTGTCCAAAGCAGTTTGTGGATCGCTGTCGTTATGAAATTCACCAACAGAAACATAACGTTACAGATAAACTCTACAAGTGTACAGAATGTCCACGTTCCTTCGCATCCGAGAATGCCCTGAAGAACCACCATGGGGAACACACAGGCCTGAAACCATTTAAGTGCGACGTATGCGGGAAGGGCTTCGGGAGGAAAGAACTAGTGAAAGCACACATAGGCAGGGTACACAGTGTGGTAGAGCTCAAGTTTCCATGCTCGTTCTGCAACAAGAGGTTTGCTAAGCAGTGGGACATGAAGAAACATGCGCTCCGGCATACAGGTATCCGACCGCATGAATGTGGAATATGTGGGAAGGGATTCACTGCCAAGCATTCGCTGCAGTTACACGTACGTGCCGTCCATGAGAAGCTGAAACCTTATGAGTGTGATATATGTGGAAAGAGATCTAGCGTCAGTCATCATCATAATGTACATGTACTCATGCACAAGAAAAAAGGACAGCATAAACCCATAGGAGAAGAAAATCAAAAATCATTTGATGATATGATAAAAGACTCTTGAGTAGATTCAGAAACTATGAATGAATTTAAGTATCTTCTTCAAATTGGCAACATCCATTTACATTCTTCTCACCAAAGATGAATTGAAATGCAAAGGTCATCATGGGTTTCGCTCCCTGACATGGCACTAATGTCCATAGATAAGGCATTAATCTACATTTGCCACTCCATACCCTGGATAGAAATGGGAACCTAGTAGGATGACGAATGTTTTTGAGTTACTGTTCGTCATATGCCCCCATGGTGTCCTTATGGTAGGAATACTCCCCAGAGAGTGGAGATGGTGCACATTATGCATGAATGAATCCGATGACTGGGATAATATTATCTATAAAGCGCTTAGAGAGTTTCGTATTAAGCGCAGTATAAATCCAGATTGTTATTATTATTATCATTCCCGTATTATTGAATGCAGGAACCACCCATAGTCAATGGGTTATCGTGAAAGAAGTGATGGATTATTCCCCCCCCCCCCCCCCCTTGAAAATGTTCCATGTAACAATACACATTCCAGTACTAACGATTCAAAAATATATACAAATGTATTTGATAATGAGGATGAGTTACAGTCCTGATTGTACGATCTACATGTATACTTGTATAGAAAGTATTCTTTGATGCACAAAGTGCAAAGATCATGTAAACTGTGTATATGGCTTAATATGCTCAAGCCAAGGTAGCAAAAATGTAGGAAAATTATGATGTTGAATTCAAATTAATCTATCCAAATGGAAGAATTTAATGTTTTTTGTGAAGTGAAAGTAACTACAACTGAAATGAACTCTTCTCCTTTTGATCTTGTATGCTGAAAAATTGATCACACTCTAAAATCAAGAGATAAATGAATTATTATTTTGTACTGCAGATTATTAAATCCAGCATCAATTGTGAATCATCTATAGAGTGTGAACCTGGGGGGTGTGTCACAAAGACTAAGATCGACTTAAGTTGGACTTGAACTATGGCAGGCCATCCATGCCACTTGTTATGATCTTTAAATATCATTTTTTTACTTCAATAATGAACTATCAAAAAATGTAAATTCTGTAGATTTGTGACCACAATTTGTACGTCCCTTGAGAAACCAATGCCAGGAATGGTTAGAGGAACTAGAGGCATGAACAGCCTGCCATAGTTCAAGTCCAACTTAAGTCGATCTTAGTCTTTGTGAAACACTCCCCAGAGTTATAACTATATGTAGTGTATAATAAGGTACCCACTCTCACTGTAAAGATATACAGTGGGGAAATTCCAAATTATAGGCATTGCATAATTTCTAATTTCTTATTGTTGCAATTTGTGTATTTTACTTGCACTGTAAATACAATTCAGTCTGTGATTGCCAGTCATGTTTTTATAAACCTTGATTGAACTGAATTGAATTGGAGACATATTGAAAGATGTGTAGTCCACTCTCGATGATTGATAACACTTGTGATCAGGTAAACATCCTAATGGTGCCTGATACCCCTTGAGAAGGCATCTGCTAGAACTTTCAAACCTGTAGGAGGCAAAAGAAGAAAAAGAAGAAGAAGAAAAAAAGAAGAAGCAGAAGAAGAAGAAGAAGAAGAAGAAGAAGAAGAAGAAGAAGAAGAAGAAGAGAAGAAGAAGAAGAAGAAGAAGAAAGAAGAAGCAGAAGAAGAAAAAGGATGAGGAGAAGGAGAAGAAGGAGGAGAAGAAGGAGAAGAGGAAGAAGAAGGAGAAGAAGGAGAAGAAGAAGAAGAGTCTTTGAGCAGGCAACTACCATTTACACTCCCCAGGGAGTGGAAAATGTGCATACATTGTGTACGGGTAAGCCTGAATCCGATGACCGGGGTAATAATATATCTGTAAAGCGCTTAGGCACCTCATTGGATCGGTGTATTGAGCGCTATATAAAAAACTGGATTATTATTATTATTAATATTATTGGAAAACCCATCAAATCCACCGATGTTTGCTTATTCTGGTTCATTGCGAGTTGTGCGCATGCACCATTTGTCGCTGCTCTGCATGCGTTAGCATCAAATTGAGTAGGGCCATGTGACCAGGAACCTTTGGAGTTTTGGCCGTTTAAAAAAAATAGACTCACTAGAGGGTTTGTTTCTTTTCAATTTGGGTTTGCGTCTGGCAGTTGCCTAGCAACTTCCGACAGAGCTACGGAATGTGAGAAAACCAACTGATGGTTTTTGCTTGCATTGTAAATGCAGCTATTCTTGTGTTATTGAAGAACTGTTACAAATCACAACTTATAATGGCACAACTCATTATTACCCCAGCCCACCCTTCCTTTATATTACATGATAAATCTCTTTTTATATCAGATATCTCTTGCCATCAACTGTGTATGATTTATACTATACCATGCTTGAATGTACATTTATCATTTTGTTGTAGTCCATGGCATGTTTCTCATAACTGTGACTGTTTGATTTCAGTGGATTCCATTTCTTTGTAGCCTTTTAGCCTAAGCTCAACAGTGGACATTATGTATGATTTCTTATTTAAAGAAACAAAAACGCTTTAATCCTTGTTCTACAGGTAATATGAAGTAGAAAACCACCTCGAATATAGAAACCGGTATCTGTGCTTCACATACATAATTACTGAGCAGGTGTCGGTAATTTAAACCCATACATACATACCAATATTTATATAGCGCCTTTACAATTGACATAAACATGCTCAAAGCGCTTTACGTAAGTAAATAAAACAAAATCATTATTTTGCTCTCCAAGTGCATACACTGTAAATTTGTTGTGTAAAGATGTGTAAAGTTATTCAAAAAGCTGTGCACCTCATGAACCACACCTGGTTCACACAGTACACAACCTCGTTCACATCCCATCTCTTGCCATTTGTTTACACACCCAAAATTTGGTCACTTTGCCATGATGCTTGTAATAGGGGGGGGGGGGGGGGGGGGATTGTATAACTGGCTCATACATGTATTTCACAAAAATCGTTGTCATAGTGTTCATGTAACTTCTTGTTGCTTTGGCATTTTAATTGCCTCTGATTTCCAAACCTGTCACTTTTACATGTTACAATCCCTTGCGGACCTAATCATGCTGGGTAATTAACAGCGCTTGCCAAATATGTGAAATATTAATTCATCTCTGTGTGAATTTCAAACTTGTAATTTTTTAGCCTTTTATAGATCATGTATTACCTCATTACTAGGCATTAAAACAATCTCATGTAACATAAAAGATGTCCGTTTCTTGTGCTTATTGTTGAATCTAAAAAACATATTTTTAAAAAAAAATCATATTTTCAGACTCCATGTCTAGTGGGAAAGAATATGGGCATGAACTCTGAAGGGCTCGTTCCATAAAACTTCCAGTGGCCACCATCCGTTTCATAAAACTTCCAGTGGCCACTATCAGTTTCATAAAACTTCCAGTGGCCACTATCTGTTTCATAGAACTTCCAGTAGCCACTATCAGTTTCATAAAACTTCCAGTGGCCACTATCAGTTTCATAAAACTTCCAGTGGCCACTAACAGTTTCATAAAACTTTTCTGCTTTAAAAGTGGGCATATTTACGGCAACATTTACCGCAGAGAGAGAATAAAGAGAGAGAATAAAGAGAGAAAAGAAAGAGAGAGATTAGGAGAACGAGGGGAAGACAAAGGGAAACGGAGAAAGATCAAGACAAATAGTAAACAAAATAACATAGGCAATCAATGTATGTATTTATAAATTCTGAGTCCTTCCTTCAATTTTAATAATTTATTTCACACCGACTATCAACAATGCTGCTGTATAAAAGAATTTACTACACCTAGCATACATGTACAAGTAAATAAATGAAGTATGTAAAAAGTAGTCACTCAACATTTATCATTAAAGACATACCTTGGATCTAATGCATAATACTGCCATTCAGCCAGGGACCCGTTTCACAAAGCCTTTTTTTCAATGACAAAAGTCAATGACAAATCTGCTGATAACCAATCAGAAGCAATGATTTCAGTAGCTTATAACAATAACTGTCATTTGTCACTGGTGACAAATTTAGTGAAATGGTGCCCAGGTGGTAGTCTGCAAGCACAAACCCTGGTCAGTCATAAAAGTGAGTCTGCACTATAAGACTACCATAGGCCATGTACTGTAGCTGCTCCTGACACAGTAGGTAGCTGGGCTAGGCTTCTCTCAAGGCAAAATGATTTGTTGAAAAAGTGTCAAATTAGGGTCTGTGCTTGCAGACTACCCAGGTGGTGTCACCTGGGGGGAAGACAGAGCCACAAAGGGAAATGAAATGTCTTATTTTGTAGAAATGTTCTTGAAAGTCTGCAATTACTAGGGGATTATTTGTTTACTTTTTTACAATCATAAATATGAAGCAACACCACCAGCTAAGTACAAATGTATATCAACTCTCTACCTTTAGATGATAAATTAAAGCATGCAAACTAATTGCTTAATTATGATGAAAGTACACACATGTACAACTAGCTAGAATTTTGACTTGCTTGATAAACATTCCTTTCATTAAGAGTGAATATTCTGTCACAGAGTACATTAACATGCATACACCGTATGACCCAACTATAGAGAGTTTTTTATCATGAAGACTTTGGTTGCTTTACAGTTGCTAGTTTGCCACAAGATCAATTTTGCACAGTCTAGACTTAAGCTCCATGACACACTATGAACATGACTGACAAGGAAAGCGGACAAAATATACAGTTCCTCAGGTAGACAAAGGAACATCCCTTAACTGCTCTTATGTAAAAATGTGTAGAACAGGCGTCACATGCATATTAACCTTTTTACATAATAGCAGTAAAGGGATGTTCCTTTGTCTACCCGAGGAGCTGTATATTTTGTCCGCTTTCTTTGTCCGTCATATTCATAGTGACAATCCTTGTTACACTGGTATTCATTAATCTTTCCCTAGAAACCTTTGTTATACACATGTATCTATCCATAGTGAATACAATTGGGATTACCGGTATTTGTGTGGCATATTAAGAGTTGAACATACCCATTAAATGTTATTAATTGCACTGTCATTTTCGTTCAGGTGGTTTAAAATGGTACATGTATGTGTGAAGAAGGATGTAGACTTTGCTACAACTTATTGCTAATGTGAGCACAAATTCTGATGAAAAGTAATATCGAACAGACCTCCATAATAGTACAAGACACTACGACCCAGTTTCATTGACTATTCATAGCACAGCATGAAATTTTTTGTGAATTATTGAGTACACGAACAACCGGTTTTTACACAACTTATAATTCACAACAACAGGTAATTTAAAGGCATATATGTAGCAATAACAAGAATGAATGCAAGTCATTGACCTGTATCAAATATTGAAATAAAACACTTTTGCTTTGGACTGTATGTGTATTTCGAATTTGACACTGAACTTGGCATTTGATGCTGAGTATTGGAGTTTTCGCTGTCTGAGCCAGCACACTACCGGTGTGTTGGCTCAGTCAGTAGAGCCTCACAACCGGGAGGTCATGAGTTCGAACCCCGGCCGCGTCATATCAAAAGTCGTTACAAGACGGGAGTTGCTGGTCTAAATGGTTGCAATGGTCTAAAAATCAAGACTATTACTTATTGGCTCTATAGCTCTTAAGTCGATTTGACAACTAATTGTTGTTATTTTCCCACTTGAAGACATTTTCAAGCCCCACCTTTTTTAGGGAAGTTCTAAATTAGTATTATCCTTCAAATGCCGTTGGAATTTAATCTTTTCATTTTTTTGGCCTGCAAATGGGACATACAGGTGTAGTACCTTTAAAGGGACTTGGTAGCATTGTTCAGATGAGAGAAAATAGTGCTAAGGTAGTGACTTCAATTTAAGATAATCTGAAAGTTTGAGTGAAAACGGACCATTATCAATGATAAAAATTGGGGAACACTGATCTGATCGATTCCTTAATTCTCCCAACTATATTATTACAATTTAATTACATTTTGGGTGAATGTAAATTGTCACAAAGCAATGAATTGGCTCTATACCAATCCAGACATTAAGTATTGAAAGATTTTTAAAAAGCCTGTTTTATATCATTTTTTTCATTGAAAAATGGTTGGGAAAATTCAAAAATTATTGGGAGAATCTACTGTTAGAGGGTGTCGCACAGTGACGCCTTCAAAGAAAACCATAAATATCTTTGTGGTTTGAGATTTTTTGAGAATTTTGTGCATGTTAGAGGGTTAGTACAGTAGAAGGAATATAATAAGTAAAATTTCATACAAAAATGATGAATTTTTTTCATCAACCTTCAACAATGTTACAGAGTCACTTTAATTGGTATACAACTTTTCTTTTGTATGAACACATCCAAAGCCTTCTCTAACATCCAGTGAGCTGCATAAAACTGTGGTTATTCATCATCTCTTAACCACTTTCCTGCTGTCAGAACACATTCAACCTCCAGTTCCTCCATGGTGACTGACAGCAGGGGGTGGTGTTTCACAAAGATCCTAAGTCAAACTTAACTCTGAGTTGGACTTAAAATTTATGGAGAGCCATTTGTAGCCTTAAAATAAAAATATAATAAAAAGTGAAAAACCAAGTATTTTAGACTTTTTATAAATTCCACATCAAGAACATGAAATTTCCTTGATAATGAATGATTTGAATCAATATTGTATGCCTTTCGAAATAACTTTTACTAAAAATTTTCATAGATGCTAACAGCCATAATTGTTAAGTCCAAAATAGGATCTTTGTGAAACACCCCCCAGACCAGCAATAAACCAAACAAACCATTTACATTTAAACAAATGACCAAGATGTTGTTGATAAATGAAGTTGAATTGGAGGTGTGACTAGGTTATTACAGAATGTGTGTCAGAAATGAGCTGTTAGATTGTGGTTATTCATCGCTATTCATTGATTCGCTGTCGTGTGAATGCATTCAATGACCCTCTGTAGTACGTTGTAATAGATGAGCTGTTAGATTGTGATTATTCTTAAACTATTCACCAGTTCGCTGTCGTATGAACACACACCATGACCCTCTGTAGTATGATGTCATAGATCAGCTGTTAAATTATGATTCATCGCTATTCATTGCTTCTCTGTCGTGTGAACTCACTCAATGACCCTCTGTAGTATGGTGTAATAGATGAGCTGTTAGATTACTTCTCTGTCGTATGAACTCACTCAATGACCCTCTGCAGTATGGTGTAATAGATGAGTTGTGAGGTTGTGATTATTCTTTAACTTTCCACACTTCGTATGAACACAACCAATGATCCTTTGTAGTATGGTGTCATAGATGAGCTGTTAGATTACTTCTCCGTCGTATGAACGCACTCAATGACCCTCTGTATTATGGTGTAATAGATGAGCTGTTTGATTACTGCTCTGTCGTATGAACTCACTCAATGACCCTCTGCAGTATGATGTAATAGATGAGCTGTGAGGTTGTGATTATTCCTGAATTGTTTCCCACATTTTTCACATTTAAATGGCATTTCTCCCGTATGAACACGTTGATGAACCACCATAGAATCTTTACTGGAGAACCCCTTCCCGCACACCAGACACACATAGGGACGGATACCTTTATGACGCCTCTCATGGTTCCGCCAGCTAGAACGCTCCATGAAGCGCTTGTCACAGTAGCTACATGAGAAGCGCTTCTCTCGCTTGCCGTGCATGCGGGTGCGATGCTTACCCATGAGTTTCTGCGTTCGGAAGCCTCTACTGCACACGGTGCACTTGTAAGGTTTCAATCCTGTGTGTTCTCCTTGATGGTTGGTCAAGGCGCTGGCCGACGCGAAGGTGCGAGGGCACAGCTCACACTGGAAAGGTCTGACCGGGTTGTGTTTCTTGAGATGAGCATCGAGGTTACACCGTGTAGCAAACCTTTGTGAACACTGAGGACATTGGTAGGTACCCTTCCCTTCGTGGGCCTCCTGCTCGTGATACTTCCTCTGGTTGTACTGACGGAACTTCATGCCGCAATGGCGACACTTGTAAGGTCGCGGACGATCAAAGTAAGAGAAGCGCTTTCCAAGCATATCAACGGGAAATGCCGAAGCTGCTTCTGCTGGCTTATCAGAAACTTTCTCCTTTCCGTCTTCGTCAGTTACCTTATCAGCAGCTGCAGTTTTATCATTTTTTATTCCATCTTCTTTCCGCATCGCTTTGCTGGTGTCCTTACACTGATGTCTCTTGAATTCTGCTAAATCCTCAAACTCCTGCTTGCAATTCTGACAACAGAACTTGTTACTGTTCCAACCGTGCATCTCACGTTCATGCCTGCGTAAGTTATTCTTGGACGTGAATATCTTACTGCATACCTCACATCTAAATGGACGGGCTTGATGCTTCAAGATGTGCTTAGTCAATATCTGCGCATTCTCGCACGCTTCTCCGCAATGGTCACAGACGTACATTCCGCCCGCATAATCGTGGAAAGTCTCGTGGGCCGTTAGCCGGCCTCCGGTAGGAAAGTCTTTACCGCACGTCACGCAGATGAAACGGTTGTCCGCACTCCTGATGTGATGGGTCGCGGTCGCTTGCCTGATTTCGGTAAGCTTCTTCTTGACTTCCCATGTAAAGAGAGGTCGTATTTCCCCTGTGTGTTCCCTGTCATGGGCTAGCTTCATGTGTCTCATCATGCGCTTAGCAGACTTGTAGAAACACTGACACTCCTTGCACTGGAAGTTGTCCGTCTCTGTATGAATGAAAAGAAGTGGACAAAAGACATCAGGGGGGTGTTTCACAAAACTTGTCATCAGTGACAAATTACAATTTTGGTTATAAGTTACTGAAATCCTTGCTTCTGATTGGTTATCAGCAGATTTGTCACTGATTTTTTTTTCATTTGTCATTGAAAAAAGGCTTTGTGAAACGCCCCCCTGGGGAGTGTTTCACAAAGGCTAAGATCGACTTTAAGTTGGACTTAAATATGGCAGGCCATTCATGCCACTGGTTGCTCTCACCATTGGTCTCTCAATTATGATCTTTAGATCATATTTTTTCCTTCAATAATGAACCTTAAAAAAAGCTGAATTCTGTAGATGTGTGACCATGATTTGTACGACCCTTGAGAGACCATTGCCAGTATAAATGGTGAGAGCAGACAGTGGCATGAACGGCCTGCCATATTTAAGTCCAACTTAAACTTGATCTTAATCTTTGAAACACTCCCCAGTAATAATAATTATGACTCTCTTTTCCATCCATAAACAAGGTGTAGTAGGGTAAGAGCACATTCAGAATGAACCACTCTTTGGTCTACACTGTTGTACATTCTTCAATGGAACATGAGGAAATTCTTGAACAGTAACTATTAACTGTAAAACACATTCTTGATATTGTAGCTCTCGTATATTGCTGTTTCATGAATAACTTGATGCACTATCTATCAACAAAGTCTTAGGAATGGAAGACGATCGCCTCATTTTGTGATATCTCACAGGAGAGGTCCACCTTGATAAAGTTTGTTGTAGTAGAATCAGAAAATATTAGAGAAACAGATCAGTGAAAGTTTGAACAAAATCAGTCATTTTGACCTTCACCTCAGCATGATCTGAATGCATGTACCTTCCTTATAGCAGAGGTCATTAAATTTGACCTTCAACTGAGCATGATCTGAATGCATGTACCTTTCTTATAGCTGAGGTCATTTAATTTGACCTTCACCTCAGCATGATCTGAATGCATGTAACTTTCTTATAGCTGAGGTCATTTAATTTGAACTTCAATTTTAGCATGATCTGAATGCATGTACCTTTCTTATAGCTGAGGTCATTTAATTTGACCCTCAACTTAGCATGATCTGAATGCATTTACCTTTCTTATAGCTGAGGTCATTTAATTTGACCTTCACCTCAGCATGATCTGAATGCATGTAACTTTCTTATAGCTGAGGTCATTTAATTTGACCCTCAACTTAGCATGATCTGAATGCATTTAGCCGAGGTTATTTAATTTGACCTTCACCTCGGCATGATTTGCATGCATGTACCTTTCTTATAGCTGAGGTCATTTAATTTGACCTTCAACTTAGCATGATCTGAATACATGTACCTTTCTTATAGCTGAGGTCATTTAATTTGACCTTCAACTCCGCATGATCTGAATGCATGTACCTTCCTTATAGCAGAGGTCGTTTAATTTGACCTTCAACTGTACCTTTCTTACAGCAGAGGTCATTTAATTTGACCTTCAACTCAGCATGATCTGAATGCATGAACCTTTCTTATAACAGAGGTCGTTTAATTTGACCTTCAACTGTACCTTTCTTACAGCAGAGGTCATTTAATTTGACCTTCAACTCAGCATGATCTAAATGCATGTACCTTTCTTATAGCAGAGGTCATTTAATTTGACCTTCACCTCAGCATGATCTGAATGCATGTACCTTTCTTATAGCAGAGGTCATTTAATTTGACCTTCAACTCAGCATGATCTGAATGCATGTACCTTTCTTATAGCAGGGGTCATATAATTTGACCTTCAACTCAGCATGATCTAAATGCATGTACCTTTCTTATAGCAGAGGTCATTTAATTTGACCTTGAAACCTGCATGCTTGGCGTACTCCTTACTGTAGAAGACCCTCAGTTCAGTTCCTGGCTCTATGACCTTGATAGTTTGAAAGTGAATGTACCCGTAGCGTTGCACCGCTTCAATGTTCTGTTCCTCTAGATTCCTTGCACACTGTACGTGTAGCAGCCAGTTCTCATTGCGTTTGTACTTGCCATCTACATAGTAGAGAATCTTGCCCTGCAGACAAAGCTGAAAAACAAAACAAAACAAAACTCATATACAGTAGGCTTGCGGGTGCACCATGTGAGAGAGAGAGAGAGCAACCGCAAGCCTACTGTATATCTACATCACCATGCAAGCCAACACTTACAAGCAGCATCTAAAACAAAACTCACATTTGATCAGGGCTCAACATTGACAGGGACACATGGGCATCCAAAACTCAACTGATCAAAGAATTTGTGCACCAAGCCAGACCCCCAATAATCAAAGACCATTTCCCCCCCCCCCTCAACCACGACCTCCCCCCCCCCCCCCCCCCATGAGTTTTTAAAACAAAAAAGAGGATTCGGGGGGGGGGGGAATGGCATCTAACAACATTTCCCCCTTTAAAGTAAGAAAATTGTGAGAAAAAAAGGCAAGAATATAGAAAATAAGGGGAAAATCAGGATAAAATCGGGAAAAAGAAGAAGAAGAAGAAGAACAAAATTGGGTGAAAAAAAAAATCAAAAAGAAAAACAAAATCAGGATTTTTTTTTAAATCAAGTAATTATAAGGTCTGAATAGGTTTTATGGTACAGTCAAACTACCTCTGGTATTGAAAGACCACCTGCCTATAAAGACCATATTCTTGTTTCCCTTAAGTGGTCTAGTTATAAATATTTCATGGTACTTACCTCCCAAGATGATTCCTCTACGCATCCAGCGGCTTCATCTACCAGAGCTCCCAGGAAAGATCCAAACTCATAACCTTTCTCAAACGTCTTCTCGGCCTTCACTCCTATCACCTTCTTTTTATCATTCTCAGCAAAGCAGTAAACAAGATCTGGACAACAACAACAACAAAATAACAATACCGTAATTAACCACACTTTTTGCCGCTGAAAAAAATTTAAAGTAGGAGGCGCGGTTTATACACAGGTACAATTTTATTTTTATTTGTTTATTTTCTTAAAGTTTCGATTTATGCCCCTCCACCTGGTGCTATGCCTGGCAATGTCTCCCAGCTCAGTAATTGGTGTGTTGACTCACCAGTCGGAAACTAGAACAACATTCAAATTTGTCTGTCATCTTGGTTTGAAAGTCCTCCAATTTTTCTTCTATTACATAGGCGTACCACAAGGTTCTATCCTAGGTCCTCTACTGTTTTTTTAATTTACATTAATGATCTTTCACATTCAACTGCACCTCACAGTTAAATGAAAGGCCTTCCGCATGGGTTTTTTAACACAGACCTGGCTTGCTGCCGACAGAGTTGGCAACAACAAAAAAGGGCGAAAAGGGTGTGCGGTTAATACACGAGGGCGGTTTATACAACGTTAATTACGGTAATAGCTCACATTTATAATGCGCCTAATACTTTGTTTCTAGGCGCAATACAATTATTACCCCGGTCATCGGATTCAGGTTTACCCGCACACAATGTATGCACATTTTCCACTCCCTTGGGAGAATTCCGGCCAGTCGCCATTTTACAAGCGCTACTTGCTCATCCAACCACATTAATTTTCGCATCCTACCGGTTACCCATTTAACACTTGGGTGGAGTGTGGCAAATGTAGATTAACGTCTTGCCAAAGGACATTAGTGCCGCGGCAGGACTCGAACCCTGTACCTTGCGATCTTCAGTTGGGTGTATTATCCACTAGACCACAAAACTTCTATAAATTGTACCCCAAAATCATAACTTTGTCAATCTAAATCCTTTATATTGGTAATGCTACTATCACATATATGTAAGCCCTTTGCATCTGTATTATATAGGGCTGTGCACAACAGTGTAATGAGGTACCCGAGTACACTCCCAGGCTCATAAGCGAATACTCGAATATTCGGACGCCATGTTTTTTTATAATTTGTTTAAATTTTTTTAAATTTTTTTGATTTTTTTTGATTTTCTTTAATTTTTTTTTTAATTTTTTGATTTTTTGATTTTTTTTCTTTTTTTGCCGCTACCATACCACTTGGCAGTTTCCCAGGTCCCTCGCCGAAAACGCATGCAATTTTACTTTGAGTTGCAGTTGAAGGCGCCGATTTAATAAGAATAATAACAGTAAACAATGCTGTTTTAAAAACCAAAGATGGCAGAATAATCCATTTTCCTCCAAGTCCAAACAGAAATCTGGACATTTGGTCCCAGTTTCTGAAAGGTGAGTTTGACAGTGCTCGAGTTGGGAAACATTTTTACCGACGGTACCATGCCAGCGGCTGCCGCTCTCCCTGGCACGGGTGAGCGTGGGCCTGGACATTTAAAAAAAAAAAAAAAAAAATTATAATTTTTTTTTCTTTTGCAGCCGAATATTCGGGTACGAAAAATCGTACCCGAGTAGTTGTCAACCGTGCGGGTACTCGAGCATTCGACTACCCGTCGCAGCCTTAGTATTATATATAAGCACAATACTAACATAAGAATCAATCCACTATAACTTGGGTTAAGTCGAACATCAAAATATCACATGGCAATAACAATGAAAATGCCTGCAAAAGAAGGCCTATGCAACAAGGTTCCATGGGGATCAACAACATCAAGAAGAAGGAGTATAATCCTCATTTTATTTGTTACCTTGAAGTTTAGGTGGTGATGAAGCTGGTGGTAACGGCCCTAGACGTTGCTTCTCTCTCAAGATGATACTAGGAGGTGGCTCCAGGTCGCTATCCTCATTATTCTGCTGAGTTTCTTGACTGGTCTGCTGGGGTTGATCCACGATCTCCACTATGCCGGAGGCATCTTGACGTGAGGAGCCGACGCCCGATGACTGGAGCTGGTGGTGTGATCCATAGTCTCTCTGATAGTCTTCTTGTTGTTGCTGGAGGGATGGAGGAGGGTTGCTGCTGTAGTCTCGTTGGAGTTGTCCATCAGGAATGAGTTGCATAGGTCTGGTGTCTGCTTGTTGCTGACGTTGTTGATCTGGTTGGTTTGGGTGTTGAGATAGATGGGCAGGAGGAGGAGGTCTTACAGGGACAAGACCAGCCACTGGAAAATCAAATTAAAAAAATTGTCAAATAGAGAGAGACTCACTTCGCTGTTAATAGTGACCACCGTGTCAATAACAACCACGATTTAGGTATCACTAACAAATGTTTCTCATGCCAATCTGCACCTAAAGCCTCGGTCACAAATGCTATTACGAACTGCTACGAACGCCGTACGAACAATTTTCAGACAATGGAAATTTAGGAAGACAATGGAAAAACAGGGAGATTCGTACAAAATTATCGTTCGTACGAAGCTTTGTGACCGTAGCATAAAGAACACCAGAAGCATTTTTAGTATCGTTTTGACTGTCTTCACTCAATTTCAGACAAGGGTGAATGTGTTCACATTTCCTGCAGGGGCATATTCCTATCTTGGTTGATGACCTACATGTATATTCTTTTAAACCCCCCCCCCTCATCTCTCGCCTCCCTGTCATCCCTCTTACCCCCCCCCCCCCCCCTCCTACACATCTCCTCTCTCTGAAGGTCATGAACTCTCCTTACCTTCTAGGATAGACTGTAGATCTTGCCCGCTCTGTCTCCTGCTGTTGTAGGCCACTTCCCTGCTGCCATGAGGAGCAGCAACAAACACAGGTTGAGACACATGGTGCATATGTTGATGTGGTGGAGGTTGCAGAGAGTGCTGATGACTGAAGTGTGGTAGATGTTGTACATGTTGCTGATGATGTGTCAAACCACCCTGCTGATCTTCATGTGAGCCGGTTCTATGTGACCCTTGCTGGTCTACGTAGCGGTAGTCCATGTTGCTTCAGGCCTCGGTAGACCTCACACCTGTGTTTTAATACAATCAAACCTGAACTTAGTATTTTAAGATCTCAAAAGACCATCTCAATGTAAGTTTATATACAGACCACATTTCTTGTTTCCTCTTATTAACACCATTTCACATTGGTACATGCACGTATAAAGGTCTATCAACCTAGAGTAGTGTAGGACAAGGGACTGTGTGTTTGGATTGAATTAACATTAACAAAATTGTAAAGCTGTCACATTTGGTGCTGATAATATACTTTCGCACTGCCACTGTGCATGCTTCATTCTGTCACACACATTGGTTTCCTCATTGCCACTCAATTGATTCTACACATGAATTGGGTGTGACGGAATGAAGCACACGCCCACCAGGTACAAAAGTAAATCATTAGTTTACTTTTTTAGTAATGACAGTTTGACAGGGAGTTGGGTTACTGGACACTAAACAAACAAAACATACTTCTCTTTGCTGCTAATGTACTTTAGTACAAATAACGACTTTAGAGTCTATATCATGACCATTATTTGAACAATTGATGATTTTTGGTATGTTTTAGTAAGCTATCTCCACGGAAATGGATACGACAGTACACTAACTAGCGCCTTCTCTTTTGCCTTCACAATCACATTATCATTACTCATGATTCAATTGACTTTGTCTTTGATCATGTTTTTGGGGTCCAGACAACTCGCCACAAAGACAACCTGCCCCAAGACAACCCGCCACAATACCCTGGACATCTCGCCACAATACCCTGGACAACTCGCCTGTGGCGAGTTGTCCAGGGTGGGGTGCCTTTTCAGACAACTCGCCACACTTTTTTTCCCTTCATGATTTCTAGATCTAAAATCCCTCATCTTCATGATCTTAGATGAAATTGTCATTTTATGTATTCATTATTCTTTTATAAACACAGTCATGACAGGAAACATGGAAATTGTGAGTATTTTGAGAGCTGTTCTAAAGAATAAAGATGATTTTCCTGGCGCTTGCAACAAGACCCGCAACAAGAATCTATTTTGGACTGTGCAAAACTAACCTAGAAAATCTAGAAATAAACCACATTTCAATTTAATTTCGCAGGTCAACTGCCCCCTCCCCTATCAGGACGCCAGTGCTTCCACTTTTCAGTACCCTTTCATGAATTCCTACCATTAAAAATTATCAGAAGGGAAAAGGACACGTACAAAGGATAAAGGGGGCACTTTAGGGGAACCTGAAAAAGTGGGGGCAGTGTCCCCCCCCCCCCCCCAAATGAAGAATGCCGCCTCTGACGAAACTAACACAGAAAATCTAGAAATAAATCACATTTCAATTTGTTTTTCGCGGGTCAAATAACCACCCCCCCCCCCCCCCCCCATCAGTATGCCAGTGCTTCCAGTATCCTACCATTAAGAGACAGAAAAATGCAGCTGCTATAGACCTCTAGATCTAAATACCGAGAAGTTTTCCCAATGATCTGGCGATCGTACGCCTTCGGTTTGTCAAAAATATATTATTGTTGCAAGGGAAATCAGTTTTATTCTTTATTCTTTGTAATGACTGTGTTTATAAAAGCACGAAAATCATGAAAAATGACAATTTCATCTAAGATGAGGGATTTTAGATCTAGAATAGAAATCATGAGGGAAAAAAGTGTGGCGAGTTGTCCGAAAAGGCACCCCACCCTGGACAACTCGCCTTGTGGCGGTATGTCCAGGGTATTGTGGCGGGTTGTCTTGGGGCGGTTGTCTTTAGTTTGTGGCGAGTTGTCTGGAATTCATGTTTTTGATGGTTGAATGAAAAATATTCATCAAGACAAATGGCACTAATTAAATTATGGGAGTAATGCACTACCCACCATGAATATTTGTCCTTTTTAAAATAAATATTCATGAAATATTGCTTGTAAACATCTTCACATTACTGTTTGAAATCAACTGTCTCTGTCAGCTCAGGCTCAGCTCAGTACGGATCACACGGCGCGCTGCGCGCTGGTACGCCTCAAGCTGAGCGTCCCTGTGGCTGTGTGTGGGGGTACCCTGGCCTGGCGCTGGCAGTGCAGTGCCAGTGTAGCAGATCGAGCAGAGGTCACAACAAAACCGAGCTTAAATTGCTCCTTTTGCAGTCAGCTCATCTCCTGTTATTCCTTATTCTATCAACATACTACTTTGTCAATAATAATTAGCAAATAAATTGAGAATTCGGAACAACTTAGTGGGTTAAATACGATGAATAAAACAGAATTTGGTACTCACATACCCCATATTTTTTCTCCAGAAGTAAATCAGTCTTTCGATCGCGTCAACAGTATACAAGACAAACAAAAAAAAACACGAAATATTAGAGAGACAACAAAATTGGGTGCCTTATAAAAAAATGGCAAGGAAGATTGAAAACTCAGAATTGTCATAATTGCCGTCTTGGTACAACCATGACATCACATACATTAATTTTAATTTTAAAAAACCCTAAAGACTAGGCCTATATCATATCATGCAACTGAAGTAAGCAATTTTCTCAGGATCATAATTCCTCAGTTCTTTTGATCTATGAACTCCGTTTTTTTCTTCAGTCAATGCAAATGCATCACTATTATTATAGATCAAGAAAGAATTGTTAGGCAGGTTGATCCGGAGAAAATTGCTTTCTTCTGTTCAGGGGCGACTCAGCCAGCCGCTGAATTAATAAGGGAGGGGGTAAGAGCTAGCACATTTTTTTTTTTTTTTTTTTTCACAACGACTCAGCCAGCCGGTGAATAAGCGGGGGTGGGGGGGGGGGGAGGGGCACATTTTTGTTGGTCCTGAAAATTGGAAAATTTGGCCGGTAGATATTTCGTTCAGTTGGGGGGAGGGGGGGGGGGGGGAAGATCACCTTTTTTGGGCCACCCATATGGAACTCGTGCAGATCGTGTGGTTTGGTGGGTCCAGGCTTCGGTGGCCAATTGACAGGACGAATTTGGTTTTGGCAGCTAGGGGGACTCCCCATTATAATCAGGCCCGTAGCCAGAGTTTGATGCTGGGGGGGGGGGGCACATACACAGGGGCGGATACAGCCGGCGGCAGGAGGGGGGGGGGCCCAATTCATGATGAGAAACAATTTAGCGCCGACTCAGCCGGCCGGTGAAGTCGGGGGGGGGGGGGGGGGTAAGAGCACATTTTTGTTTGTGTGTGAGCTAGGGGGGGGGGGTCCAGTTTTTCATGCAAAATTCAGCGCCGACTCAGCCGGCCGGTGAATAAGGGGGGGGGGGTGGGGTGTTAAAAGCACATATACAAGCAAAATATACATATTGTTTTGTCGGGGGGCCGCTTTTGTTTTTTGTTTTAAAAAGGCTAAATTTACGTTATTATCCTATTTTTTTATCGTTTTGGGGGCTAAGGGGGGGGGGCCGGGCCGGAAAAAATTGCTACGTGGATCCGCCCCTGCACATACATGTAATCGATCGAGGTCAAAAAAGGGGTTTTAAAAAGTTTAACCGATCTTGTACATTTTTTTTGGGGGGCACGTGCCCCCCCCCCCCCCCCCCCCCCCGTGCCTGATTATAATAAACAGTATTCTATTTTGTTTCTCTCTGTGGCTTCGTTTTGCGCATTATATTTTATATGTTTTCAATATATCTTGTATTTCTTGTCACCTTTTTAATTTTTTATGTATATATTTTTTTGTTGAACAATCATTATTGATGACATATAAATATTTTTATATTAGTTTTGATTTAATAAAACATACAAATACAAAATAAAAACAATTTTTCTTCACTTTTTGCCGAGGCGTCATTTTTTTCATTTAAATTAACTCCTGGCAATCGTATTCGAAATATGTTTATTCAAGTTGTTCTCCACTCTTTATTTTTGTCTGAATGCATCGTCCCCCCCCCCCCTCTCTCTCTCTCTCTCTCTCTCTCTCGCGCGCGCGCGAAACGCATAAGCTTAGACGTTTCATTATGATTATTAGAGAAAGAAGACGATTTGTTGTACCGGTCTCGACTCTAATAATATTGTCTGAATTCAGTTTCCCCCTTCCGCGCGAAACGCTGAAGCTTTGACGTTTCATTAAAATTTGTTGACGTTTCATTAAATTATTTGAGAAAGAAGACGATTTGTTGTACCGTTCTCGACTCTAAATCTTTGTCTGAAATAAATGCAGAAGTCTAGACGTTTCATTAAATTATTAGAGACAGAAGACAAAATCGTCGTACATACGTTCTTCAGTGGCGTACGCAGGATTTTTCAAGGGGAGGGGGGGGGGGGGGGGGTAAGAGGACACTTTTTTTTGGGGGGGGGGGGGGGTCCCGAAATTTTATGTATGTTATTACCAAAGAAGAAAAAAAAGCTAGTCAGTCACTCAATAGTGAACAGTAAACAGGTTTCCCTTCATAATTTGAATGTTAAGACACTGTTAACGTTTAAATTTCACAGATAGAACATAGTCATGACATATTCATTATTCTTGCAAATTTCTACAGAATTTGAGGTTGGCTGCAAAAGGGACATTAAAGTATAGAGAAAGAAGGCGATTTGTTGTACCATTCTCGACTCTTAATGCTGAATTCAGTTTCCCCGAAAATTTTAAACCTCAGATTTCTTTTGCTGATATTTTAGGAAGATCAAACTTCGAGAATATACAAGTATCATAGTTTTAGTCTCCCTCGAAGTTGTCACAAGGGATAAAAAGCCTCAGTCTGTAGGGGAAAACAAATTTACCGGCCGACTAACATTATACATCTTAAATACTTCAAACTTCAAACGAGGATCGAGCAAGAATACCGACACAGCCGATCCGACACAGCAACATTATCTATATGCGTATCTTTCTCCCTAGACAAGACGTTTCCATTCAACAACCCCCCTCTCTCTTTTACTTACACCCTTCCTCTCTCAGGCTCTTAACCCCATCTCTCTCTCTCTTTCTCTCTCTTTCTCTCTCTCTCTCTCTCTCTCTCTCTCTCTTTCTCTCTCTCTCTCTCTCTTTCTCTTTGGTTTATAGCGCGCCCCCCCCCTCATCAGTACGCCAGTGGGCCCCGCGATATCTATACCTTGTTTGCGGGAAAATCGCAACTGATCTACCCTTCTTTTCTTCTTTCTTTTCTTTTTCTTTTCCTTTCTCTCCTCTTTCTCTTTCCCTTCCCTTCCTTCTCTCTTTTGTAGTTTTGCTGTTTGCCAGTACATTTTTGGCGAATTTGGGGCTGGTTTCAACATTTTTTTTTTTGGCCGGGGGGGGGGGGGGGGGGGGGGGCACGTGCCCCCTGTGCCCACCCTGGATCCGCCACTCTTAGAGGCCTATATATCAGGGCCCGCGGAACAGCGGGGCTCGTAGGGCTCAAGACCCCCCTCCCCCACTTTGTGAAAAAGTATATTAATGAGAAATAGAAAGAAACAGGGAGAAAGAAAGAAAAAAATAGTGACCTACCAGTTTCAAAAAATTAATAAGGAGGTATCAAAATATCATGCTCATCTGACCGTGATTAAATGCCTAAACCCCTGAGCTTTCGCGGGCTCTGCCCCGGCTGGATTCCACATAGCCCCTAAGGCGGGCCCCGTGGATGCTCATCTGAAGGTAATTTAATACCTAAAACCCCTAAGCTTCTGAGGGCCCCGCCCCCTGGACCCCTTGCCAATTAATGTCCTGCCAGTGTCACAAAATAATGAGGTATCAAAATATGCTCATCTGACCGTGATTAAATGCCTAAAACCCCTGAGCGAGTCCGGGGGCTGCTCCCTGGACCCTCATTGGGCCCTGAGGCGGGCCCCTAAATGCTCATCTGAAAGTAATTTAATGCCTAAAACCCCTGAGCTTCCGGGGCTCCACCCCTGGACCCCACGCCAACTAGTGACCTGCCAATGTCATATCAATAAGGTATCAAAATATGATTTGCTCATTGATCCAATAGCCCGTTGCAGTGGAGATATATTTGAATCATCTAATCAAGAAAGGAATTTGGATGGCGTAAAAATTATTTCTGTGATATAATTATGACGAGATTTTCTTCTGTTTTTAAATTGGTTGCTTAATTGTTTTGCATGTTTCATTTTTGTACTCTGTTTCTTGTATTATTTCAATGATGGTGGAAAGCATATTTTCACATTGTGGACGAACTTAAATCAATATCAATATAACAATATGAATATCAATATCTGACCGTAATTAAATGCCCATACCCCCTGAGCTTACGCCCCTTGACCCCCGCCAGGGCTTTGCCCCTAGACTCAATACCAATGTACGCTACGCTCGACATGATCGTAAATACTTTAGCCCAGCCCCCCCCCCCCCGCCCCTCTCCCCATCCACTTACTCTTACACTTCCATTTACTCTTACACGTGATGTTACGCTATAACTTTAAAATTTGTTATCCAATGTACTTTAGAATGATCCTATCTGTTTGGATTGAAATCAATAAAGTCTAAATATGAATTTGAATGTAAGAGTGGGGGTGATGCGGATGTTTTTTCTGCCCCTCCCCCCCCCCCAAAAAGACAAGTTTTTGCTCATTGCACTCCATCACTGCTGGTCACCATGCATTACGTACCAATATTTGGCTCGCATAATTTCAAATATGGGCCCCCCCCCCCAAAAAAAAAAAAAAAAAAAAATAAATAAATAGATCTAAATAAATAAATAAATAAAAGATAAATAAATAAATAAATAAATAAATAAATAAAATAAATAAATAAAGTCCTGGATCCGCGCCTGATACCTGACAGCACTCAAAGTAAAACCGTCGAATTCGAACGCAAGACAAATTAATTTTAATGAAATGAAACTCGCAAATTTGGCAGGGGAATCGGACTACCACAGCTCAGGGCCAGGGGAGTCATGCGAGTACAGATTTAATTTTGTTCAATTTTGCCAGTTTTAAGATACCGTAGGACGTCAGATTTGCAGAGATGGCGAAGAATTTGGAATCTTCCGATTTTTTATCTTCATCTTTGACTGAAAAACGTGTGAAAATGAAACGTCCCATCATGTCTGCATCAGAAAGCAAAGAAACGGAACTTTTTTCTCTTCATGAAATGTTTTGTGTGGTTTCTAGCCATTTAACACTAGATGATTTTGAGGTCCTTAAAGCTCTTTATATCGGGAGTTCTGTGAACGACGATCGTGGAAGAATCAACTCTCCTTCCGACCTTTTCTTCGCAATGGAAAGATCAGGATTATGCGACTCTTCGAACTTTAAAGAGATTTTGAACTTCTTAAGATTGATAACAAGACATGATTTGATGCCATTTGTGACGAGAAGGAAGAGAAAACGAGGTAATGAAAGTGACAGCCAGAAATAGGAAGATCTCTCATGAGAATCGAGTGAAAAAAATAAGTCGATAATGATCAATTTGCATCAGATGATCACCTGATGATCAGTCAGTGCATCATGAATGATTTGGAGTTTCAATTTTATCAGAATTAAGTAATGGCGGGGGAATGTTTAAAAAGGGGTGGGGCGTTTTATTAATTTTAGGGGATTAACAATAGAAAATATGTGTAACATACTTGAGTTGAACCAGGCGGCAGTCAGTAAAGTAGCTATTGGTATCAGAGAACAAGGAGCTAGAGCTAGCAATATCTAGATCTATCGATCATCTATCTACTACTACTAGTACTAGATCTAATCTACATTCAGATTCTACACAATTTAGTTTCAGTGGAATTAAAAAAAATATTCATGTTAATTGAATAATGACTGGTTAATTAGCTTTAAGTTTGATCAGTTAATATCCTATAATTTCTTACTTACTTACTTTACTTTAATCTATCGATGCTTGTAGGGCAATGCCTGTTCATCGATCATCGGGTTAAAATCATTTTCATCTCTCTTCGGGCGTAAGTCTTATCAAGTGAACAATTGTCTTTCATACATGTATGTTTAAACTGGATAGTGATGTGTGTGCATGGAGCAGAATCAGTTCTCAATTTGAATATTTCTCTCCTTCGGGGTCAAAGACGGTAGGTAGATTCTTCCAGTGTTTGTCTAGTCTGTTTTTGAAGGAGTTTCCTGAAGGAGCTGAAACTACCTCTTCTGGTAGATCATTCCACGAGTCAACCACTCTGTGAGAGAAGAAGAATTTTCTCACATCCAGGCGTGTGAATGATTTTTCAAGCTTTAGTGAATGACCTCTTGTTCTTTCTCCTCTGTGAAGATGTAGGAATTCTGCACCAGCATTGTATAAGTCATGCAAATACTTATAGACTTTGATCATGTCTCCTCTCCTTCTGCGATGGACAAGGGATGGCAACTTCAGTTTTCTCAGTCATTGTGGGTAAGACAAGTTCTTCAGGCTTGGTACCATCTTAGTGGCTCTTCTCTGTACTGTTTCAAGTCTTCTCTGATCTCCTAGCCGATATGGTGACCATGCTGATTTACTGTATTCCAGGATTGGTCTAATAAGTCCTTTGAAGAGAAGTTGAAGGGTTTCCTCATCAATAATGACAAAAGATCTGTGAATCAGACACAGTATCTTATTAGCTTTGGAGACAACATTAGACATCTGGTCCTTGAAGGAGAGTTTTGCATCCAGTAATACTCCAAGATCCCTTTCTACATCCACTTGTTTGAGGGAGACCCTTACATTGTTGTTCTCCATGTAGTAGTCGTGGCTTAACGGAGACTTGCCAATCTTCAACACAATGTATTTGTCAGGGTGGAATTAGAGCTGCCATTTCTTTGCCCATTCCTGCAATTTATCTAGGTCATTTTGCAGATTTTGAGCTTCAACCATGGAGTCGCATCTAGCATAGAGTTTAGTGTCATCTGCAAAAAGCTTGATTCCCGATCCAATGGAGTCAGGTAGATCATTGACATATATCAAGAACAGCAGGGGGCTAAATATTGTTTTTCCTGACATTCAATGGATGGATGTCAACCGTTAAAGAGTGATGAATAAGTAAAGAATAAGAAAACCTTGTCGAAGTCGAAGAACAGGGGCATAATATTGATATCCCTTTTTCAATGACACATGACAAAATCAGTGACAAAGCTGATGATAACCAATCAGAAGCAAGGATTTCAGTAGCTTATAAAAAAAATGGTCATTTGTCACTAATGACAAGTTCTGTGAAACGTTCTCCTGTACTTATGGTAATGATTTAGTGCATACATTTACATGTACATGTACAGTCAAACCTGCTTTAGTGACCACCTGTCTACAAAGACCACATTTTTTGTTATCTTGAAAATGGTTTCTCATTGAAACATGTACTAAAGGAACCTGTACTTAAAGACTACCTGTCTGTTAAGACCCCTTTCTTGGTCTCCCTTGGGCGGTCGCTATAGACAGGTTTGACAGTATACATGTAGTCATGTATGTAGAAGTTACAAAATTACGAGAAATGATTGTAAAGGTCACCTGTGATTTCCACTACATGTTAATTAAGTAGTATTGACTGCCTTCTGGGCAATACGACATATATCGCTCGAACCGAAGATGAGGGTGATATATGACAAGTCGTATTGCCCTGAATTAGGCAGTCAATATTACTATTATTAACCACATCAGACATCTAGAGCATACAAGAAACTCTTACTATCTTATACTATTAAATTATGTAGGCTACAAAGGGTTTCCTAGCATTAGAAGTTGCAAAAACATTGTCAAACCAGCACTGTTCATCCAGTGTTTGACAGATTTTCGATACACTGCAAACAGTTTGCCTAGGGTGTGATTGTTACGTCACAATAGAGTTCGCGCAAAGTGCGCATTTTCTTATACACGATGCGCGATGTAAATTACAGTAGCTGATGCGCGATGTAAATTACAACTGGCTCTATATTATTGCTCACTAGTTTAACACGCATTTTGCCATTGACTTTTCAGAGCAGGCTAAAATATTTGTCCATAATTGGTTTACTGTATAACCATATTGACTGGCAAATTACACACAAATCCCTTGACTTTTCTGAGCGGGCTAAAATATTTGTTCATTGGTTTACTGTATAACCATATTGACCGGCAAATTTCACACAAAATCCCATTGACTTTTCTGAGTGGGCTAAAATATTGTAATTTTGTTGGCTTATCCATCAAACCTTGAGGGCAATAACATTTAAAAATTGCCCTGCTCAGATGTCTGATACGGTTAATAATGTATATTATTTACCTACAGTACAATGTAGGTATGTTTATAAAGTTTGTAAAAGTTCTTATTGTTAGAGTACATGTACATGTAGATACAAGTAAATAATAACATTAAAGCTAATCTTGAGCCCTGGTATGGGAATCGTATGTCGAGAGAACATGGCTATAATTAATTCTGGATTGTTCCCCCAGCAGTGAATTGATTGTTTGAACTAATAAAATAAAAATACACTCCCAAAAACTTGCTGGAAAGTGAAAATCATCTTCAATAAAAATCACAACCCTCATTTGCACATACATGTAGTGACCCGTGTAAGCACATGGTGTTGAGCCTACTTAATACCCTTTTTCCTTATCTTTCCATTACTCAGCCCCTATAGAGTGGTGAAGTGTGACGTCATCAAAAATCTATTTTTAGAATTTCTCAATTCTTTCTTCATTTTCCGAAAGAGCATCAAAAATAATGTCCAAATGTCGAAAACCAATTGAATATGTTAAGTAATGGTTAGGAGCCAGAGCATATAACACTAAGTTTCCATAGGAAATATATTCATTCAGATGGTCATATCTCAGCCAATACTTAACATATTCAATTGGTTTTCGACATTTGGACATTATTTTTTATGCTCTTTCAGAAAATGAAGAAAGAATTGAGAAATTCTAAAAATAGATTTATATGACGTCACAGCTTCGGTACTCTATACAGCCCTCTACCAAAATCGTTTGGCACATTTCATTTATTTGTAATCTTGAACATTCAGTGTAAGTTTTGTTTAATTCTGTGAGAATTTATTCTCTATATTACCAGAACTCAAGCTTATCTTTAAAAAAAGAGAGAAATATTCAGGGCTTTAAATTAATCCAAGGCCACCAAGGCCATGGCCGTGGATGCCCTTTTGATTGGCCTCAATGCCCCTCTCATTGGCCTTGGAGATTTTGTGTGCCCTTTCCAATTCTTCCAATTTGTGCTGTAATATACATGTACATGTAGGAATGTGCCCTACAGAAAAGTGGCCTTGCCCTAGAAATACTGAAATTTAAGGCCTGAATATTGTTTCTCCTTTTCTCAACAGCCGTTGAAGATCCTGTAGATAAGTACCTTGATCAATGTACCTCTGCATCAGGACCTCCTCCTCCTCCTTCTTCAGACCAAACAGCAGGACACCTGTTATCTTCCTCCTCCTCCTCATCATCATCGCCATCATCATCGCCATCATCATCATCATCACCAGCATTGGGGCCAGTGGGCTCATCATCATCATCGTCGTCACATACATGTAGCTGCAGCCAGACACCCCATGCAACACACTGTCCTATGCATCGTCACGAAGCAGAGGCAGACCCCAACGATTGTAACGCGCACACTAGAGCTGTTGCCACGACAACCAGGTGTCGGAGAACAGTTGGGATCTCACCGGAAGCGAGAGGTTTACCCAGGGAGAGACCCAAGCATACATGCGGTAAATAATACTCTGAAATTTTTAGTTTTGTTTCAGGTATGGTATTCTGAAAATTATGTTTTTTCCCCCTCTTATTATAGTTAGAGATATGTTATGTCTACGTGTAAAGTCTTTGTACCAAGCTACACACTTGACTAACCTATCCTAATTTGAACATACAACTACAAGGTTCAGAATACCACACCTGGAAGTCTTTAGTATTATCTAGAGAGTTTTTGTTTTGTGATGAAATTTATTGTATGTAGTATTTACATGTAGTAGTAATGATTTATTTAAACAAAAAATTGTGGTCAACTAGCAAAATTGCAGAATTCTGTACAAATTAAAAAGAACACAGTAAATAATCTTTATCAAGTTACAAACTGACCAGTAAAAAGTAAAACAATGGATCTAGACCATGGTACTTTGAAATTAAATTGATTTTCATGAGCTCAGATACATGTAAACAAACAAATTTAAGCAAATTACACAATCTATGGAAAATATATATTGTATGAGACATATTGCACAGAATCGCTCAACTGCATAATCTAAAAGCACCAACATGGCTACAGTATATTGATTGATATGGATAAGTTATAATCACCACAATGATAAGTACCAATCTACTTTTGATAGCGTTTATTTGTCATAATTGATGAAAAGTATGGCAAACATTACCATTTCCAGTTTGAACATTGAGTGACCTACATTGATCCCAGATAATGGAAACAGTCTGAATAAATACTTGTAGAATAATGTAGAACGCTCTGGCCCAAATTCACTAAGGATGTTTAGATTTACCCCATGGTTACTTTAATCCCTCATTTACATAACCCATGGTTTAAAATAATCGCAAAATAAGCACGACACGAGTCAGAGGTCCAAGGTACATGTATGCTTATTTTGCGCTAATTTTTAAATCATGGGTTATGTAAATGAGGGTTTAAACCGTGGTTAAATCTAAACCTCCTTTGTGAATTTGGGCCTCTGTACATGTATGTAGAGTTACTGTATATTGAAATTATTTTCAGTGCTTTGAACAGTGAATACCCAGGTTATCTGTTCTGATATGGGCTCTACACTTACTTTTTTGGAAAGGTGGGGGAGGGGTGTTTCACAAAGATCCTAAGTCGAACTTAACTCTAAGTTGGACTTAAACATTATGGAGTGCCTTTAGTAGCCTTAAAATAAAATATGCTCAAAAGCAAAAAATCAAGTATTTTTTACTTTTTATAAATTCCACATCAAGAAAATGAAACCTCCTTGATAAAAGAAAATATGAATAATTTGATTCATCATTTTATGCCTTTTAAAATAACTTTCACAAAAAACAGCCTTCCATAATTGTTAAGTCCAACTTAGAAATACGTTCAATAAGCACGTTCGTAATTAGGATTTGCGCATGGGCAGATAAAGGTCATACGTTCCCAAATAGTAAAACCAGCAAGACGAATGCTGGTATTGTGCTCATGTAAGTTACAGGTGTATGTAATCAGTACTCTCTTATGCACCGACAGTACATTTATCTGATACACAGGTAGAAGTATTCTTCTCAAGAGGCAAACAAAAGGTATTCATGGAGCACCTCAATCACTTCGGCAGTGATTATTCTAAAATGCACAAGTGGGACGTTTCCATCGTGTAATTTGGGGGTCATGCGTTCCTAAGCTATTTACGAACTTGCTTATTTAGGATCTTTGTGAAACACCCCCAAGGACTATTAAAGATATTAGGTGCCCTTTCGTCCTGGGCTCGTTAGTGTTGAGCCCTTCCTGTCTGTAATACTGTTATTAAAGATAAAGGTGAGTTCTGGTAAAATAAAGGAAATTAATTCTCACTGAATGTTCAAGATTACAAATACTCATTTGCCAAACAATTTTGGTAGAAAATGTATACTGGCTGAGTAATTAGCATAGAAAGATTAGGAAATCAAGGTTAGTAGCCCAGACACCCTTTGTGTAGTCCCATATACATCTTTCTGTGTACAGTGATTGTTACTTTACCAAGACTGGGCCAAATTTTTTATGATTTTGATGACTCCAGAACCTGCAGTACACACCAATACTTACATGCTACATGATCAACTTTTTCTGATCCATTCCACACCTATTCTTTCACAATGAAATCGCATGACCAGAACTCACCTTTATCTTTAATACTGTTATTATATTTCTTACCTCACAGACATTAGGCTACGGGTACGTGCTGAATACTGCTGTCATGATAGCGCCCTCGTAGGTCAACTTCACTCCAATGAACGTGATCCACTGATGCGACATTTAGAGCTTTTCTCACAAGCCAGCGCTATCTTGAAATCACGTGACCTGGGATCCATAGTGTGCGACATCAAGTTTTCAGAGTTAACGTACTTGGATGCGTTCTGGCGAGACTACATCAACGGTTCACTTCTAGCGGCGCTCAAGGATGTCTTCATCACCGACTCGCTCCGAGCGGCCGTGGGAGACGAAGCCATCAAACTCTTAGTCAATGTTGATGAAGATGATTATCGAGCTGGGAGAAGCAAACTTCTTTTAAATCTCATAAGTTGATGACTGACTGAGCAGATTTGATGAAAAAACTTTGAACTACTAAATAATACAGATCTTTAAAGAAAAAAGTGATATTGTCACTGCATGTGCGCTGCATGCACTGCAGACTTTTGAGCTATGGACTTCTTGTATTCAATTCTGTACATCTTTTATTTGTAAAAGAAAAATGATGATATTCTATTTTTTTAGATTTTATTTGTTGATAGAAAACATCATCCAGGCATTGCATTTTGATGAAAATGATGGCCTTGAATTTGAAGTGTACCAATCACCTGAAAAAATGATTTATGGTGTGTTAGAATGTCTAAAATCAACCTTAACAATTTTTACCTGGCATTCTATATTATAGAATGTCAAAGTGAACGGTTAAGGAGTATGAAGAAAATAAAGCATAACACAAAACCCTGCATATGGGGCTTGTACAGAACCCAAGTAGGACATGGGATTCAATGCGAGTCCTATTCTGTGCGAGTGATTCAGCTTGCGTTAAAGGGATAGTTGAGTTCTTGTTTAAGACCGCAAATGTCTTCAAAGTGCATGTTTATTGTTCTTATTCTTATTTATGATATTTCTAGTGCCCTTTCAGAACCTAAAATTGCTATGAAGGTAATTTTAGACCCCGAAATGTGCGAAGTTAGATTGGATACGATCATACCAATTCAGCTCCACTTTCAAAACAATATGGTGACCGTTAATGAATTAATAATAATAATAATACACGGGCCGGCTAGTTGTGCGTATTATAACAAATACGAAGAAGCCAACAAAATGCCAATATTGGCATTGGCTGGAAAAAAAAAAATGGCTGCTTCGAAATTACTGAATATTTGTGGGGCACCACAAATATTAGAAACAGTTATATTTATGGATATTTCAGCCGTCTCTGAACTGATTTTGATCAAACAAAGATGATTTTGTCATTTAATTTGTATAATCTTTCAAATTGACACTCTGTTTTTCATCATCTCACAATTTTTTTTGTGTGTAGCGCCCTCTGCAACAGAACTCAACTATCCCTTTAAGTTGTCTACTCAACATGACGTTTTAACTGCAATTTAAAACTCTTTGTAGAATTAATATTTCGATCTCATAGTTTGAATAAGAGTGTAGCAGCATGGAACCCCTGATTAGCCCTAGGGCCCTTATATCAAGAGCAAAACATGTTTTGGTGACTGGTACACTTTGACTCGTACAATGACGTACATCCGGCCCCTCGATCCGCTCAGTGTTATTTAGGGTACGCATATGCTTGTTCCCTCCTTTTGAAAACACCCCCCTAAGTCCGGTGTGTAAAGTCTTTTTTGTGTATGTACGAGCCGGACTTTGGTGCGTGAAAAGTACCCCTTTACCGGACATTTTGGTAACACGCATGGTATCCCTCCATTCACGGAGTGGGGGGGGGGGGGTGGGGATGTACATCAATACCTTTATAGTACTTTAAGAAAATAACGACACCTACATGTACATGTAGGCCCCCTGATACAAAGCTTAGCTTTATTTATAACAGGTAAATGAAATCATTTATATCGCTTCACAAAGGCATACCGGTATGCATAAATTTGGTTACATTACAAAAAATGGCCTATAGAGAATGATGCTAACGTCATATTCGCTCATCGTTCAATTTACAGGTTCCAAACAACTAAGCCTAGGCATGAGGTTCACCGCGACATCATTCAAGCAACGGATGTTTGGCGCTGGTGTGATCACCATGCCATTGTTTAGGACTAAATTGTTTGGAACCAGCAATCTTGACAACTAGGCTAATATGACATCACACTTCGGTACTCTATTAGAATCCTAACCCCATCTTTGATTAAAAATAACCTGAAGCTATAGACCATTTTCAAAATTTTACATTCACCTGTATTCATCATTGTAATTCAATAATCAAAATGCAAATTGCATATTCCAGTTATTGCTAGGTTGGACAAACATTATGGCTTGCCCTACCTAGCAACAGGTAATTCTCAATATTGAAATACAATTATTCTAATAGATGAATGAAATTTTTTGTTGCTGGCAACGAAGATGTATATAAATTAAATTTGATTACTTTACAGAAATGGCCTAATTTAGCTATTAGCAAATGTCAAAACAACCAGGGGCGGTATTCTGAACCCTGTGTTATCTCTAATATTGATGTATCTTTGGAGATGAGATAAAGTTGGTATTCTGAACATTGTTGTAACTTTTGTGTTATCTTTTGTTGTATCTTTTCTCTCATCTCATTGGCAGCGCCTGCGCTCATAGTTTAGTGCGCTTGTAATTGTGCGTATTATTAATAAAGTGGCGTTTAATCCTCATTTGAATATGCGCACGAGAGATAATATGTCAAGATAATTGGTATTCTGAAAGTTGTTGTATCTTTTATCTTATCTTATCTTGCATGGTATTTACAACAATATTTACAACAGGTAGGGGGTTGTTGTATCTTTCGTGGTGACATAATGGCGGCAATATTTCTTGCCCAGAACCAACTTCGTGTCAATAAACGAGTTAAAAGAAGATTTTGTGTTGACCGGAAACATCACAGATGAGAACTTTCTAAGAAATTACATGCTAGGATATGACGATTGTAATGCTCTCATCTGAACCAATATAGTGAAAGCGTGATTTGTCTTCATGATCCACATTCAACAGCGCATAATGATGACGCGCGTAATAAGCGCTCAAATAACTAATTACGCCCAAGATTTATATGCGCTAGGTGCATCTTCAGATATGGCATAAAGTATTCCTATTGGTTGACCTACTTATCATGCTTATATAAAACAGATTTTGATTGGTAGGGTCCATAACAATGGGCGTGTCAACAGTGGTCAAAGATAAGATAGAGGCGGTCCTTCAAGAGATAACACAGGGATAAAACGATGTTCAGAATACCAACTTACAACAATATTAGCGCTGTGTTATCTCTGGAAGATACAACAAAAGATAACACAAAACTTACAACAATGTTTAGAATACCACCCCAGAAAAGCATCTATTAATTTGTTTTTAAGGCAATTTTAACACATTTATGTATTTGCCTGGTACATAATGATCTGATAGTATGAGATACAGTCAAACCTCTCCATGAAATCCACTCAAGAGAAATAGCAAAAAAATCTTCCAATTTACATGTAAATATGTGGTCTTTGTAGAAAGGTTCTCAACAGAGAGAGAGAGAGAGAGAGAGAGAGAGAGATAGCACATGTGACCACTGACCATAACAGGTGACCACAAGGGCCAGGGTTAACTGCATATTATACTTGGTTGTTCTACAGCATCATTGACAGCTATCTTCTGTCATGGACGATACTAATAAATGTCGTTTTGAAAATTTCATTTCCCCTGTATATATGGATTATCCCTTGATAGTGTGATGTATGGACTAGCTTGTCACTATATGTCAACCTTTATTTAATTGTGGTGATAAACTATTTTAACCCATTGCTTACTGGAACCTGGTGTTCCCTGCATTAAGTCTATGGCAATTAAATAATTCTTTAGTCAACTGGTTAATTTTAAACTCCACCTTAGTATGATTGAAACCATGCATATTGACTCGGCCTGTTGAAACTGCTGTTACCAGTTTTTCTAATCAGGTAATAAATGTAGTATAAAAGATAAAGACCAGTTATGGTCATGCGATTGCATTGTGAAAGAAACGGTGCGGAATCGACCAGAAAAGGTTGATCATCTAGCATAGAAGTATTTGTGTGTATTGCAAGGTTCTGGAAGCATCAAAATGATAAGAAATTTGACCCAGTCTTAGTAATGTTACAAGTACTGTACACAGAATGGGACTACACGAAAATGTGGTGTAAAATTCTGTCCCGATTTTTATCCTGTTACATGCCATATTTAGAATATTAAGGCATTTGAAGAGCCATGCTTGTCAGGGAACATTTTTGATCTGATGTTCTTCCATACTTGTATAATAACAATGATAACACTCGGAAATTATTTTTCACCTCTTCCCAGAACTCAACCTTCTCTTTAAAATACTCTCAAAGAAGGCTGTATAGTCCAGTTAGAATATATAGTGACATAGTTTCTGGCTAGACGGTGGGGGGGGGGGGGGGGGCAATGGTGTCAAGTGCGTCAGAGCCATCTACACACAGAGTTTGGCCAACCTGGTTCGAGTCGGACACAATATGGTGACTAATGCTTTGTCGGGCAAGCACAAAACAAAAGAATATATGTTGTGACCCAGTGAAAACCAAGTTGGCCAAACTCTGTATATAGATTGCTCTGAAGTGTGTGTGTTAGGGTATAGGGAGGGGATGGGGAGGGGGTGGGGGGCTACTAGATGAATGAAATGTGAGATAACATGGCTATCAGGCTGTAAAGCATATTTCTTGCCTTCCCGCTCTCCCCTCCCTCTCTCTCTCTCCCCCCTCTCCCTCCCCCCCCCTCCCCTCTCTCCCCCTCTCTCTCTCTCCCTCTCTCTCTCCCTCTCTCTCTCTCCCCCTCTCCCCATCTCCCCCTTTCTCTCTCTCCCCTTTCTCTCTCTCCCTCTCTCTCCCTCTCCCCATCTCCCCCTCTCTCTCTCCCTTTCTCTCTCCCCCCTCTCTCTCCCTCTCCCCATCTCCCCCTCTATCTCTCTCTCTCTCCCTTTCTCTCTCCCCCTTTCTCTCACTCCCCTTTCTCTCTCCCCCTCTCTCTCCCTCTC